AGAAACTAAGAGTACAGAATGCAGAATGAAAGTTTGTGTAATAAAATTATTATTGTCTAATAGGTTTGATAACTAAACGAAAATGCGTGCCACTTTCTATCCATCGATTTTGTTTCACTTTTTCTGGAGACCTGCCAAAACCCCATCATTAGGTCTAGTACCATAATAATTATATTAGAATTTTTTTTAACAAAACGATTTTTAGACGCGTTTAGTTCTCTCCTCTCATGAAACAGCCGTGAGCGTTTTCTTTTTAACCCTTTRTGCTTCACAGAAGACCAAAATCCCAAGGGGTCTTATCATTAAAGGAGATACTTATACTGCATCCTACGCAGACGTCCTCTCGCTTCTCCGTTGCGTGACGACCATARGGATGTCTTAGTAAGGGTAGGCCCCTACAAAGATATTCTGAACAAGATCGTCACTCAACGGCGAATCCAATCATACGCTGCACRATCTAACGCGTGACGGAAAGTCCTACTTTAAATTTACCAAGAAGAGAAAAATAGAGGGAAAAACGAATATTTACAAACGAATAAGATAATATAGGTGATGATACGAGATGAAGTAAAAAATAAACGCTTGCGATGAAAACTTTAGGGGGAAAATCGCAAGCATTTGAAAATATTTTAAAGCCTTTTCTTTGGTTTTCAGTATTTCCCAAGAGAGAAATGTCGCCTCTTCCCTCCAGGGGAATAGAAAACCTCATTCGTTTCTCTCCGAAGCAGTACAAAACTTTTCTTTCCTTCTTTTCTCTCCCCCTCCCCCTCCCCCCTCGAGAATCGTCCCAAATGTTAACTTTCCTATTTACAATATACTGTTTCGTCAAGTGCCTTCGCCACGTAACGTATTAAGGGATAATMCTTGAAATAAACATCACTAATTTGAAAACCTAATTTACGAAGACATTTCCAGCCTAGGGGGTTCCCGTGTTCTTTTGTAATAATATCCCACAGGCAGCCCATGCGATGGAAAATCTCAGTAACTCATCTAGACCTCAAATATGTACTACTGCCCTAAATATTTSATATTGGTTTTTAGCGACAATGTTTGCATAGCTTTGCTTAAATCCCGAGCGAGTGCAAATCTAGGATGAAATTCCTGACGATCTATGACGTCATAGGTTGAGTCGTAACCAGTCCCCAAAGATTGTGATTATGGTTGAGGATTCTATATATTTTTGTCTCTTTGATGTGATGCTGTTAGCGCATCCATTTCTATGCGCAACCCACAGAGAAGGGTCGAGCATAATAATCTGGTACCTTATTGAAGGGTTTATTATCATTATGATCCCCATAATCTAATATCTTTATAGTCATATTTCACTTGTCTAGTATAGTTATTTCCTTATTGTGTTTTATAGTATATTATTACCATGCATCCCCTTTAATATTATCATAGTATCGATACTCCAGTCCCTAAATCACATTAGTTACCACCCMTCCCTTGACATTCATAGGTTAACCTAATGTTACTCACCCTCCCCTCCCCACCCCTCATGTTCTACATTGTAGATTATTTATAATTTAGGTATCGTCATCTCTAATCTAATACTTATTGTAGGATACCACACCAGACTTTGCCACCCTTCCTCCTTACCTTCCTCCTTACCTTTCTCCCCTTCCTCCATACCCTACCTCTTTTACTGTTATATCTGATCTACCATACCTCTCATCCCATCCCATCTCCTCCCATCCCATCTCATTCCCACTCATTATCTTTGGGTATTATCTCACCACTAATATTAAGTCTTGGTTGCAATCCCAATCCCTCCCTATCAATATTAGATTATCATCACAGACCTCCCCCCCCCCCCCCCCCCCATCATTATTTTTAGGGTTTTCACACCACCCATCCCCTGTTATTATACAGCATATTTACCACTACCCTGTAATTGTTTTGGTTATCACGACCATCCCTCCCCTGCCATTAATATATATCCCACTATGAACTACTTATTATCAAGTATAACTCTTTCTCATTAACCAGGGTTTAATTTCCTCTATCACGACCAGCCCATCCCTCCCCTCCCCTGTCATTATTATACTCCCATTGTATACTACTTATTATCAAGTATAACTCTTTTTCTCATGAACAGGATATACTTTCCTCTATCACGACCAGCCCATCCCTCCCCACCCCTCCCCTGTTATTATTATAGTCTCATTGTATACTACTTATTATCAAGAATAACACTCTTTCTCTTGAACCAGGGTTTACTTTCCTCTATTGCCACAGCAGCAATGAATGATGACAGCTTGTGTTCCAGCTCCTGTGCACGGCATTCTGTCTCTACCAGGGTGAGCTTGGTTTCTGCCAGCTCTAGTTCCAGTTCTCTCAGACGCTTCTCAGCATCGACCACCTTGACACTGGTTTTGAATCCATCATTGGCTCCTCCTTCTTGGGATGTCTGTCCCTCTTCTGAAAATAGTGGTGCGCACTTTTCACACTCGCCGATTCGCCTCTGAAAATAAACGATAACTGGATAGTTAGAAGTCTTTCTTTWCAAATATTGGTCACAGGCGCCATGTTGGAAGACATTAATCCGCCCAACATGCCAASTATGTTGTCACATAAAACAAATCATTATGTTTAGCAATAGGGTTTTTGTCATACTGTAGATCTGGCAAAGGAGCTTGTTCGTTTGTTGCAAGAAAAAGTAAGAGTTAATTACCGAGAACGGAGGCAATAAGCAATATACATATACTGGGTTAAATACACAACTGGGTATAAATGACTGACCTTGATTTCCACTAGTTCTTGCTGCAAGTCATCTTTGAGTTTTTGGCTGCGTTCGTCGAGTTGACTGCAGATCTGTAAAAAATAATATTTCATAGCCTTCAGTCACTTGCTTTGTTTGTCTTTGATATAATAATACATCATCTAGATGCTAGAGTATTATAGTGATGATTAATAACAATATGTTGATAATGGTTGTGGTGGTAATAGCTGATGATGATGATGAATGATGATGATGGTGGTGGTAGTGATGATGATTGATAATGGCAGCGACAATGATAACAATGGTTTACAATTACCTTCTTATACTCTTCTATAATGGCTGTATGTCTTTTTCTTTCATCTTCACTCTCTTGCAGGCTCTTTCTCCACATATCCTTCAGCTGTGAGTCATAGAATAGTCATCATGAGCACCTTCTAAACCAGCATCACCATAATTACACATGTTCACAGTCGTTTACCTGTTTGCCTTCTGTTTTCAAACTCTCTCGCTCATCCTCAGTTTCTGTTAAAGCCTTGCGATTCAGTTGCAGTTGAGTCTTCAGTGCATCTATCTCTTCTTCCGCCTGTAAAGAATATATCAGAGTTAATTCCTAGCAAAACTACTTTTGCATTTACTACCTCTACAATAATTTAGGGCAGAACTGCACTGAGTCCTCAGCCCTGGCTAAACAAGGAAAAACGTTTCCAGAAATGTGTTAGCTACATGCATGCTAATTCCAAGTTTCCTGGTTTAGTCATGCGTGAAAGATTCCTACATGAAACAAATTTTGCTTCTAAGAGGCAAAATCTTTTTGCAAGTGTTTAAAACCAGGCCTAAGAAATCACCCAGTATGTTATCCTGTAAGAACGCTCACCTCTAGTAGCTTGTTGTGTAGAGTAACCTTAGTGGTAACCAGTTCATGTGCCAGGTTATCATTCTCTCCCTCCAACCGCATGTTCGTCTCCATAAGACGTTTGTTCTCTCGCTGAAAAAGGTAGGTTCACTTTTTAAGTTCCACAAGAACCTAAATCAAACTGGCCAGGGCTGCRCTTCGGGGTTATACATGGACTGTATAGTGGCTGACTGAGTTGCTTTCACATGCTTTCCGTTTGGAGCTGTGCCAAAGTGTTGATAAAACTAAAGCAACATAGCTCAGCCCCACCCCCTGCACTATATGTAAATTCCAGCCTCCCTGGGGGTCAAAACAATGAAAAATCCTAACATCCAAAAATATTTCAATCCTGAAGAAAAAGGGATTCTTTTGTTATGACTTCCAGATTGGGGATAAGTATGTGCAAGGTGTCTATAAAGTTGTCTTACTGTTAGTCTTTCAACTGGGTCTTCAAGTTGGGCTTCTTTCTCCTTCAAGATCACAAATTCTTTCTCATATTTCTTGAGTTTCTTGTGAGTTACCTGTTATMAGGACAAATTTTCTTCAATATACACCATTATATCTGTATGTTGGGTGAATATGTATTCCCAAGAATATTATTTTACCTTGATGTTTAGTGCAGATGCAAGAAGCTGTTTATATCGCTCCTCTTCCATGTACCTTTTGGGCATCGTGACCCTGAAGTACTTCAGTATCCCTTCAAAGTCCATTTGCAGAAGATCCTTGCGAGCGTCCTGTGCAAGAACGACAAGAATTTGCTTCAGCACTTGTTTGGTGGGAGAGTTTTGAGACATGGAAAGGGAAAAGGTGATACAGAAATGGTGTGTGTGTGCCAAAAATGCAAGTGCAAGTGCCTAAAGGGTCTGAGAAAATGGTTGACTGAAACATTTTCAAATTTCATTTTCTTACAGATTCCATTTTCCAGCTTTTCAAGGCATTTATTGGCTCAGTGCAATAGGAGAGGGTAAGGGTGCCCTAGAGATACAGCCTAGAGATACAACCTCTCTGTTTAATGGGTTAATGAGATCCAAAAATCTATTAGCAGAAGGGATGTTCTAYAAAAACGTTGGAAAAGAGCCAATAATTAATTGCACCATGACCTATAGTGAATATTCCATACTTCTCATTACTGTACCTTGAGAAGTGCTATTGCCATTTGAAAGACAAAGTCTGTGCCCTGTGTAACATTAAAAAAATTTAAAAACTTAAGTAACAAAACATTGTCAATTGAAACTACAGGTAGCAAAAATTTACAAATGAATAGCTAAACCCCTGTATTTTATTTTGAAGACTTGCAGCTCATYAAATATYCCACCGATAACCACTTTGCCTTTGGTGAATAATTGTTAAAWGATCRTACCACACAAAGAATCACATCAATGATCCAGAAGACCATAGGAAGAGGGAATTTAGCTGTGAAGAGAGTCAGGAACCATTGGGAYGCATACATGTGAGCTTCTACATTGTTGTGCTGGAAGTGACTGAACAGATCAGGCATGGAATCCTGCAGAAGGAAAAATAGAATGTCTTGGTTGGAGAAATTAAAAAAATATCAAAGCTGGAAAAGATTAGAAAAGTTAGGGTGCCAATGCTTACCAAATTGTTAGAAGTTAAAACAGGATACGTTTGATCGTGAGGGAAATACCACTGCACATAGTGTGAAGCATATCCATGATTTCCATGATGGGGGTAGGTAATTTTTGCTTAAGTCAACAAATCATTCCTCCCCACCCCTCCCCCATAACACATGGATGGTACATGATAGAGGTCACTCCCCACTCACCACAACAAATCATCCCTCCCCAACCCTCCCCACTCAAAACAACAAATCATCCCCCCACCCCCTCTCCATAACACACATGTTAYAATTGCCATTTACCTCTATCATTCGTTCCAACTGGTAAAACCTCAAGTGCAGCATCTGAAACTCATTCTTGAATATTTCTCTCATTCCATATTCTGACATCATCTTTACCAACACAGCAAAGGCTTGTTCTTCTGGCATCTATAAATAATTGGAACATTGACTCAAGTAGCRAAATAGAAAATAAAAGGTCCAATTCCTGGACTCAGTATGTAAGGTTTCTCCCTTTGACTTTGATCAACATTCAGATGTTGTTTCAGGGTTTGACCTGTGGGTTAGCCGTGCCCTGTTTCACAGTTCAACACTTAAAAACTTACATGTAGCAAGAGGACAGCAGAAAAGAATGACAAGCCCTGGCAGTATCCAACTTCTTCATCGTACACAGAGTAAGCCTGGAAATATGAAACAGAAGGCATGATGAGGAACTGATCATGAGACATATTATCTATAGAGATGACACACTGTAACCTATCATAATGGTAGCACAAGAATTGGCTATCACATCAATAGTTCTAACAATAATGGTTACTCACCAATGCCACAGGCATTTCAACAGGTGACACACCCATCCTACCACAGGGATCCCAACACGTGACCCACCCATCCTACCACAGGCATTCCATTACGTGACACACCATCCTACCACAGGGATCCCAACACGTGACCCACCCATCCTACCACAGGCATTCTATTACGTAACACACCCATCCTACCACAGGGATCCCAACACATGACACACCCATCCTACCACAGGGATCCCAACACGTGACCCACCCATCCTACCACAGGCATTCTATTACGTAACACACCCATCCTACCACAGGGATCCCAACATGAGACCCACCCATCCTACCACAGGCATTCCATTACGTGACACACCCATCCTACCACAGGGATCCCAACACATGACACACCCATTCTACCACAGGGATCCTAACATGTGACACACATCCTACCACACACGGATCCCAACATGACACACTCATCCTACCACAGGGATCTCAACAGKTGAGACTYATCCTACCACAGTCATCCCAACATGTRACACACCTATTCTACCACAGGGATTCAAAGAWAAGAAAAAAAAGATATAGTGTTTTACCTTGCTAATCTTGTAGAGAGATTCTTGTCCTTCTCCACCAATCTCCTTGAAGTACTCATGTGCAGGGTATGTCCTGTGTATGTCCCACACTATCACCTGCTCTGTGGGTGACTCCTGCAACAGGCGCAAAATCCAAGTAAGGAAAATAAAATTATTTTTCTTTAGTCAATGGTTAATGGTGCCAAATTCTGTCTTCTCTCTCCATATCTTCCTCTTTTGCTGTTTTAAGGCTTTCAAAGCAGGGGCATAGCCAGGAGATCAGGGGGGCCAAGAGGGCATGCTCTCCCCCCACCCTCACACTGTAGAAACCTAAACATCTATGTCGTCCTGTGATAAGTTAGACTTACCAATGTTCTGAAAATGGGTTTAGCTCCCCCCCCCCCCCCTTGAGAGGAGACAAAGCAAGTGTGTGCACTATGCAATCCAACTATCGGTTTTTGGTTGARGTGTCAGCACACTTACCCTTTTGAGTAGATGTCTGTAGTTTTGTAGCAGATCATCATTCTCTTCTACCCCTGCCATCATCTGCCATACCTGACCACGTAAAGGCTCTGGTATACCCTATAAAGCAGTAGAAAAGCTTGATGTTGTCGAGATGACAGYGAAACTTTGTCTTTTACAACTAGTTTTCTTAGAAAAGCTTGAGTCATCAAATATTTTATTTTCATCAACATCACCACAATATCATCATCGTCATCACAAAAATTCTCATTGCTGTCCTCATCATTATCATATTTTTTATCATCAA